TGTATTCTGTAATGGAATACATTTTAAAAGTAACCTTGCCAACACTGTATGTAAACCATAAACATTAGACCTGATGCATGTTTGCGTTACTTTAAAAACATTAACTAGCACTCGGTGTCAATTTTATCAGTGCTGCAGTTGTCGCAGACCCATTTTTAAAATTTCCACTAAGGGTAGCTTGCTCATGCTTAATCATCTTAAAGTCCGTGCCATAGTTCCTTTAAATGAACATTTTAAAAAATATTGAGAAATACATTTCTCAGCTTTCTTGTGAGCGACTAGAAGTTTGATACCAATCTTATGACTTTGCATTTAATACAGAGATGGAGTTAAGATGTGCTTAGACAAACTTAGCAAAAAGGGGGAAACAGCTTACCCAGGCGTGTGTGAAGTTAAACCACATGCCTAAAAACAATCCTTCAGATATGAAAATGTACATATTTTAATTATTTAACCTACACAGAAAAAAAAAACAAATGCACAAATCCATATTAGGATATAATAAAAAGTCATCTAATCCTTACCAGGTTAACCTTGGATGAACAGTTACACATGCTATATTACACCATGTCATTATTTATCTAAAGGAAAACGAAGCCAAAATGCAGAAACACTATGGGTAAAACATTCACGATAATTGCCAGTCTTCCTGGGAGTAGACGTCCTACGAAATTCACCCCAAGGTCAGACTGTTCAGTGCTCAGAGAACCTGCAAAACAACCTCAGACTCTTCAGGCCTCGGTTAGTGTGTTAAATGTGAAACTTCATGACTTCATTAGAAAAATAGAAAAAGAACATGGAGGCACAAGTACATGCTGGACATGTTTGGCCACAATGCCCAGCGCTTCCTTTTAATAAAAAACAAAGTCACCAGATCATTACAAACACCAGACACCAAATCTCAAGCACGGTAGTGGAGGCATGATGATTTAGACTTGACCTGGGCGACCTGCAGTCATGTCCTCTCCATGCTTGAGTACTCTAGATAAAAAAAAGTGAGGCCAATTGTTCAACAGCTGAAGTTTAGCCAAAATTGGATCATGCAAAAGAACAATAATCCCAATCACAGCAGCAAACCAACAAAGGAATGGGTGAAAAAGAAAACAAATCAAGGTGTTGCAGTGGTCGAGCCAGAATTAACAGAAGTTAAATGCTGTAGACCTTAACACACAGAAGGACCTTAACGTGAACTTAAGACCTCCAAGACCTTAACAGAGCTGTGCATAAATAAATACTCAAAAGACTCAGTTAACTGAATCATTGTTGTTTAGAAAAGTGGGGGAAAGCCCTCTGAAAATATGAAGTCATGCATAAAATAATAAGGTTTCAGGTTATACTTGGTTTGTCATATACTTCTTACACAGTTTTTCTTGAATGGATAATAACATGGAGTAATGTCACATACTGATGTTCTTCTGAAATTAATATTTAAATAATTTTAGAACCAGATTATTTTTTTTATTGTTGTCCTGATAATTAGTAACTGAGCTGGTCTGCTGTTTATTCTACTTGCACTCTCAAAGCACTTCGTTACACTGTAACAGCAACTCCAGGTTCAGTATCTTGCCAGAGGATATTTTGGCAGACTGGAGCAGCAAGGGATTGAACCACCAACCTTCCAATTAGTGGATGCCCCGCTCTACCCCTGAGCAACAGCCGCTGAATAAATGAGACAATTTCCTCTAATATTTTCCAGGTTAGAAAGATTATTCACCAAAACAGACCAAAACAAACTGTGTTCATGTGTTGTTGGCAGAACAAGTCCTAGCAACAGTTATGTCACATTTGTGTTAGAGAAGAAAGACAGCCTACATTTTGGTTAATTGACATTCAATTAGACGTGTTGGTGACTGTATTTAATTTATGATAGCACCTCTGTCCACATTTTAAGATAAACTGACTATACCGAGGCGTATTTGTGGTGTTTATAAAGCCACAAAGTCCTCAGATGGAGAAGGTTGAAGAGAATAGATGAGTCAGTGAAAAGTCAGACTTTTACACATGAAGCCGCACTTCTTTTCCGATTTCCTACTGACAATCTTGGTTTTCTTTAACCATGATGATGCACGTTCCTTAACCTTTAAAGGGAATCCACTGATTTCCCCCCGACTACAGCGTGTTTACAGTTCCACGTTTGTATTATTGCATTTTCAGTGGGACAAAAACATAAAAAATTACCTCAAACTATGTTACTACTTCCTTTTTGAGAGTAAAGGACAAAGAGTACACTCTATCTGAAGTACAGATGTAACCAGTGTAACGTCACTCATTGTTTTATGAAATCCAGTTCTAAGTCATCATGAGTAAACTGTGGATCTGACTAAACAGCACTTGAAACCATAACTTATAGGTTGTTTTTCATAGACTTCTATGAAATCACACTTCTTATTTGAAAAAAAAAAATCACAGGAGTCACCCCCTGCTGGACATAAAAAGGACTACACTTCCACATTTGCAAGTATTTGCCTGTTTTTCGACATCCATCGTCTCTACAGTTTATGGGATGTTGGCTACAGAAGCTCCTTTTAACGTAGCTCACCTAAACTGTGGCTCATCACTGGATTGCAGTGGGTTCACTGGGTACTTTTGACAAGCAGAGAGAGAATGGGCTTAGAAACACACCACATATGATCTGAAAGCTCTAAATATAAAGGGGAGCACTTATGCTAATTTCAAACGCCATATTTTTAATTCTTGGACTCTACTAGTGTAGCATGACTCACAATTTTACAAATAAATCTCATACCAGCTTTGGTGTAGTCACTCAGTTCATCCACTTCCTGAAACAAGCTGTTGTAACTGCCTTCCCCCTGCCCTTTCAGGCAAGCTTGCACAGCAGGTAGGTGGAACTATTGTGCTCGCAGCCAGAGCTAAGGATATCCCTTCTCTTTAAAATCATAATCGGCCAATAATAGCACTGAGAGCAGACTAAAGTCTGAGCTTTAGGCATATTAGGATTAATTGTAAATCTGCTGGCCTCATTATTTGAAATATAATATCAGTATTCACTGCTGTAGCAGTGTATATATACAGTCCCAGGTACTACAGCCTCAGATGAGCAACTGTGTCATTATTTATTTCTACATACAAAAGTAGTATGTTGAAAACTAAGTACACGCTTACTGTTATCATATTACATAGAATTAAGAGGCTAATCGAGTAATCAAATACAGGCATTTAACTGATCATTAGCAAGTCATACAGCAGCTTTAACGTCAAGCAATCGCTCTGTGTATGACTTTTTCAGTTTCTCTCAGGAATTTTGGTCCCCAGTGAATTCTTTATTATGTGGTAATATGCAAAACCTTAGTACTGAAAGAGGGCGTACTTTCTTTTTCGTATGAGTGCATGAGAGAAAAAAACTCATAGCAGGTCCTCTTTAGCGTTAAATCATGAGGATCACGATGTACTTAAGGAACAAAATCAACAAAAAAGAAACATGAAGGTGGTACTGATGTTAAGTTGCCCTTATTAAGAAAGCAAATACACATATTTCTCACAATTGTGAACTATTTTTTCTAATATATTGAATCCACCTGGGTTTACTACAAGTTTGTCTCTTTTTAAAAACCTTTTGCGTAAGCCTGAATTGATCGCTTACCCTGCAATGATGAAACTGTGAATCTGCCTCCCACAGACTGACTAATACTATCCTGTGAAGTGAGTACGCTGAGGACTGCGTGTGATTTGACCTGATAGTGACTACATGTCCATACCTGTGTGTGTGTGTGTGTGTGTGTGTGTGTGTGTGTTTTGCAGCTCTGGATGGAGACCGAAGAGAGTGACATGAGGAGCTGCCCTCTCTGCCAGCTGATATTCCCGGTCGGTTACCCTGACGATGCCCTCATCAAGCACATCGACTCCCACCTGGAGAACAGCAAGATATGATTGTCATGGCAACCAGCCCGCGCACATCTGCGCTCTCTTCTTATAGATTATGTAAGAGATTAGCAGACCTGGCGAGAGAGGAAGTCAAATGTACACAAACAAGCCATCCATTTAGGGTGTGAACCAGTTAGCTGCTGTATGTGTGACGCTATAGGTAGAGATGCAAAGTGGCGCAGAGGTTTATTTTATTTTGGAGGAATTTAAAAATAGGTCTACATGCAGAGTCCCTTACTGATTGCCCTTAAGACAGATCTGCCTGTATAATCACTGGCTCTGGTTGCTGCTATTTGTTTAAAAGTCTTGTTGTGCAGTGTTCAGGCAATTTAGGGTATTGTGTTGTCTTTTTTTTATTATTATTATTATTCTTTTTTCTTTTTCCGCTAAAGTGTGGATTTGATTTAGCAAAGTAAATTGTGAGAGGCACACTGGCAGGTTCAGGGGCTCTGCATGCCAAAATGTTTGTCCAGCAGTAAAAGTTCAGGGAGCTATGGCGCAACTATTCTCACCACTTAGCTTTAAATATTCCTGCTTGGAAATTTTCTATCTCGCACAGACACACACATACACACACAGACGCGCACTGCAGTTTATTTTACAGAGGACCCTGCGCAGTAAGTGCCAAGGACAATGCCCTGGTAGAAGCTGGTCTAATGAGATGATCAGACAGCCGTACGAAAGCATGCGGGGAAAGTCGTTTTAAGTTTCTGACGCCGAAGGAAGGAAATGCCAGTTTCACTTCTCTGAAACAAGGAAGTTTGGCAGTTAAGAAAGTATAAAACATTCCAGTCTTTCATTTCATCTGCTGAGAGAAAAACTGACAAACTGGAGAACATGAATCTGAAAGGATGTGTGAGTGAGCCAGAAAGCTCCAAATTTTGTGTTTTGATATTGCCCTGCAGGGCGGGGCACCGATGAAGATACTTTAAGAGGAGGGAAATTTTAGTCAGTATATACCTTTTATGCTTGCAGCCTGTTCAAATCGTATCTTAGCCCTTTCAGTTAGCATAGTCTATACAATGTATCAGTTTTCAGTCCCTATATATATTTTCAATATGTAATTTACTATTTATATTGTCTATCTGTAAGGCAAAAAATATGAAGTTATATTTTTGCAAATGTCAACGCACCACATGTCTCATGCTGGTGAAAAAGAATCTTTCCCATGTGCTTACATGCTGCTACACACAGCAGACTCAAAGCTCAAAATCCCACCGAACGGGATACTTTCTGTACAAAGAATATCAACTGGGATTCTTCTCAGTCTTCCTCCAGATCTGACCTTCGTAAAAGATTGATGTCACGACTGCCCAGACCGCCCAACAAAAAACTAAAACACACAGCTGGTTGCATGAGATCAAGACATCTGACCTGCTTTGAAGAAAAAGTGGCAGGCTTTTTAGTGTACTATTTTTACTGTCTCAGAGATCTGACATCAAAAACACCATCGCCAATCAGCAAAGTTATCTCTCCAGGGTTTAAGCAAAGACGAGACTCTTCTTTTGATACATGTGTTTAATTTTTACCACAAGGGAACTCAAGATCTCTTTGTGGGACCTGAACTTTTTGAACACAAAAAGTGAAAACAACAAAAAAAAAACACAGTTACACTGATGTCAGCTAATCCGAGGCTTTCAGTTACATGTGCAGTTTCTAACGTTTGGGGATGTCCCTACAAAGCCAACCATGCATCTCAACCGGTTTGAAGTTACTGAAGAGAGGAACGCAGCAGATTAGAGCACACAGGGCAGCGACTGTGACCGCAGGATGACGATGGACGTGTACCATAATGTGACGCACTCTTGAGCAAATCACTGAATCACTGCAAACTCTGGATGCTTTGAGTTTCCTGTGAATGTTTAGAGGAAAGAGTTTTCCAAATGGATCAAAGAAATGCCAGTTTAAAGGATGACTCTGGTTTATTACCACTTGCCTCTTAATTTATCAGGTTTTAACATTTATTATTGGTTCTGATGACTCTGCAATCATCTGCTTCACTGCTGAAAATTCAAAAAAATCTTACTAATCAATCAAGCTCTCTCAGTTTTCTCAATATTGTGAACACTGGCATTTTTTAAATGTTGCATGCCGTAAGCCGACTTCAATTGATCAGTGAAATTTATTTTTAAAACGTTAGCGACGGACTCAACAGTAAAGTTCTGAGGCATTAGCAAGCTAGTTAACTTATTAGCATACCACCAGGTTTAAATTTTAACAGATGTGTTTGCACCGCTGAGTTCTGCAAAGTTCATATTCTAACTGAAGAGGTTAAATCAAAAGTACTTGCTGGTAGTCACTCGGTGAAATTGGTTGCAAAAAGGTATATAAGGCGCTACACCAAAAGCCTCCTCGTGATTGTCTTGGAGTGTAGGAGATTGCCATCTTCGTCTACTTTGGATGGAAGACACAGACTTGTCTGTAAAGCTTTGCCAACTACTTGGTAATTTGGGTGCAGAACTGAAAACTGTGCAATGCAAAACAGAGAATCAGGCTATTTGCCTTCAAAGTAAAATTTGCGTCATTTGAAACGTGTCGGTTTCAGTGGTAAAGTACAGCTTTTACTTTGAAGGCAAACGTTCTCCGTTTCTGTTTTGTGTCGCACTTTTTCAAGTTTCGTTACTGCTAAGTGGTTAGTTAGAGAAGTTGGCATCCTCCAGTGACCACAGCAGTATATTAGTGACCAAAGCAATCACGATAAACGTCATCAGCACTGTAAAATTAGCAATTTGATCCAAAACAATCACATCTTTCAAATCCAAATAAAGTGGATCTGGTGCCTAAGCCTCACCAACAAACCAGCAAACCTTAAAAACTGCACCAGATGAGACTCAAACACATCTACCAGCACACCTTACTTTTGCATCGGGTGACTCATGATGCTTTTTTTGCTGTTTTAAAGTGGAAATTATAACTCAGAAAAAGTCACCATCCACTGCTACAGACTTAAAATGCTTAAGTGTTTTAAATATAGTACTGAAGATTTTTATTTATTGATTATTATTATTATTATTGGCATTGCAAGAGAGCAGAGCAAGGTTAGAAAGTCATTATGATAACAGTCACTCAGCATTATCACACCTTTTTCAAAATGTATTTAAATAAAGAAAGCATGCATATAGTACACATCTGGAATCTCCAACAATGAGTGACGAGCGGCAACACAAGCTGTCGTCTGAGCTCATCTCGATCGTCTAAAAGCTCGCCGTAAACAGGAATCTGTTACACTTTAACCTTACCTTCCATTTGACGTGAGTGTGTTACAAGCTGTGGTTCTGTAACTTTGTTACTTTTGGAATTTTCTTGATCTAAAATTGAATGTAAAAAAAAAACCTGTGTGATTTACTTTAAACGCTCTGTGTTGTTGTGTCGTTTGCATGAGGTGTTAACAGGGGTCTTTCAGCGGCGAGGTCATTGTCATCTTGTAGTTCAAATGCCTTCCATGGATGAATCATTTTCTTTCTTTTCTTTTTAAAATAGGAGCAAGGTGGGGGGGCGAAGAGAGCTCTATGTAACACCTCTGCTAACCAATTTCCTGGGGGAAAACCTAAACTATTAAGAATTTCACAAGAAAATGGTCAGGTTCAGAGAAGTTCAAAATAAGTGCATGTAGCAGATTTCCTTAATTCTTAATGCAAGAATTAAGGAAATCTACTACATGCACTTATTTTGAACTTGATGACAGCTTGTGTTTCCTGCCCAGTCTGATACTTAAGAACAGGGAGGTGATTACAAACTTATTGATGCTAAAAAAGAGCTGAATTAAAATAAACCAGAATTGTCCTTTAAAACTGCATCCTGAGGTTTACAGTAACTTCAGAGCAGTTCTTGACCATTAAATCGAAGAGGGCTTTCATGGCTCCAGAGTATTCTATATACTGTCTGTACAGTTTGTAACTATATCACTCTGTGTACAATATTTAAAGCTGTGTATAGACAGAATTTTTGCAAGTGTGTAATACTAATGAAACATGTACTCTATTACTCAACAACTTCAAATTGGAGTGTCTGTAAATCAGTATATACACATAATCCTAATCAACACCACACTAAATATGAATTATATGTGAGTTACATGCCAGTACTACCCTACAACTTTACTCACTACTTACTTTTACTCACTAAGTAGCGGTACTTTCTATATTCAAGTGATATCCAAAAACACGGTTGCAGCTTTCAGAGAAAAACCTGTGTTTGTCTTAAAGTTTCGGTCCTTACAGAAACTTTTTGACACATTTTTTTCCGACTTGACTGATAATTCAGCAACGACACGAGAATCAAAAACATGCACAGCTGTTTGTCTTTGTGGAGGAAGATGATGCGACGTTGCACCATAAAGTATTTGTGCAGCAGTAGAAAACTGCAAACCAGTACAGTAGTACATGATAAACTTTAATGTAAAGGGGACCTATTATGCTTATCCTTTTTTTTTATAGTGGATGTTCATCTTTAAACGTGACCAAAGTTTCAAATAATGAGGTCTGTGTAGGTACAAGAAATCCCTTTGAGCCAAAAGCTCAGGCATTTTAGTTTTTGAGGGGCAGCCAATCAACAGAAAGCTGCTTTAAAGTGTGCAGGACAGGATGTAATGACATCGTTTCAGATAGAAGTCCAGTAGAAAGTGAATTTTAATGAAGGGTCAATCATGCAATGTTACTCCAGTAGAGTCCAAAATAGCATAATATGTCCCCTTTTAGTTAAAACATGATTAAATCACTAAGATGTGTACTTTTTCTTATGACTGAGGACCCATGTTGGCTCAGAACCAAAGAAAATAATTTCCTGTCGTTTCAAAAACTGAGGGTTTGCTTGGCAGGTAGTTCATGTCATGTATGGGAAGATGCTGCACTGTGGTTCATGCTGTCTTGTGCTCAACCACAAACGTTTTGGCCAGCAGCAGCGGTGCAGAATGATCACACCCTGCATGAGTTCACAATGCGATGCACACGGATGTTCACACAACAACACATTCGCGCATGCACGAGCCGCCCCGAGGCCCACCGAGTGAAGTTTAGAATCGCCGGTTCAGGGTTTCAAATGTTTCATTTCCAGCTGCCATGGTTTAAAAAGTCAAAAAGCTAAAATCATAGCGCTTTCTTCTTATTTCTCGTGTTTTAACAGCAAACTGGCTCCTTTGGTTTACTCAGGAGACTAACAAAGACAGAAAAAAAAAGATCAGCTTTGCCAGCGTTAAAGATTAAATAGATTTCTTTGTCATGAAATCTCAGTCTAAATTTCTTTCAGATTTACTCAGGAGACACATAGCTAGGTCCAACAAAGAGCTGCAGCTGAAATCAAGTCAGTTTTCTGTTCTCGTGTAGCTCCACTTGCCCACGAGTAACTATGTGAGTCAGGTTGTCTAAATGCGAAACCTTCACTGCACACGGAGACCTCGGCACTAATGAACTCTCCACAACACTAATGAGAACTAATATTTATGTGTTTAAGTAACGTGTGGTGGAGCAACGCTGCTGGCATTCAACAAGTTTAATGAACACAAAGAAAACAACCACAGAGCCACACAAAGAGGCCGCTTTTCTTTCTCCATCTCAATCTCTCTGTTTGTAAATATTCCACTAAATAAACTGAAACTTGCACTGAAATGAAGTGTGATCATGCTTCTTTATGCTCGCACCATGATGTCATTTCCTCAGCTCCATTTCACATCCTGTTTTCGTTGACCAGTATTAATTTTAGAGCTCCAGTTGCACATTGGAGCTACAGGTGTTGTGAAGATAAACTGCATGTTTCTCTGCACTTTAGATAAACCTTCAGAGGTGCAAATACTGCCCTGGAATATAAAACTATGATAAAATAACAGTTTTCTGTGTAAAAAGCAGTTAAAACGTAGACACAAAAGTGTAAATTATGGCTTTACATAAGAATGCAGCTAAACTAGAATAGAAATTAGTATTTAAAGCTTTAATTTCTTGCAATAGAACACAGATTTCCAACAAGTATGTAAAAGGAAGCATGAATATTTGTCTTAGAATAACGTAAACCTACTGAGCATGAAAGACCACGTTCACCTCTTGGTGCATGTCGGCCCGTGACGCGCGCTGTAATGATTTTATGTCCTTGAAACATGCAAAAGGTGCATAAACACAAACATAAGCTGTGCTGTTGTTGTGCCTGACGAGTCCTTGAGAGCAGAAATTATGCTGTTAGTTTCAGTCAGCAGAGAAGCTGTTTTTGCTACAGAGTGAGCCGAGATCATTGCGAAAATACATCGCACCTTCATCACCGTGTAAGACCTCTCTGATGTTGTGGGTACGACACGCTGCAGAGGATCAACTTAAAAAGAAATACACTGACAGAGACCTCAAACAGTTCTGTCTCTTAATGTGATGGCAGCTGATAAATTGTGTTTTCTATGAGTCACTGAGATACATCTAATCTTTCTTAATTATATGTTTTAAAAGAGGATGAAGTTGCAGCAACTGATGTGTTAGAAAACATCATGAAATACACATGTCCAGTCATGTAACTACAGCCTAATATTTAGGCAAATATTTTTATGGAGACGTTTAATGTTACGGGAGGGAGGCTGAGGGCTATTTACTGATAACTGATGTCAGTTTTTCACAAATGCCAGAACAGAATTTTGTTAAGGAAACCATGAATACGTTTTTATTAACCCAGAAAATCAGTAGCAGCAACTTTTCAAGAGTTTATCTGCACGTCGGGCGTCATCACTTTAAAACAGATCAATCGGTTTACTGGAAGTGCTTCTGACGCAGAAAACGTCGACGCTTTTAAGATATGAAAACACTGGAGGTCGTTTTGTTTACTTTAAAATCATAGCCTCCATCCTTCAGCCGCCAGCTCTCTTACCAAGTTTGTTTCCTACGTCTTTTGCTCTGCGCCGCTAACCTCAATGCTTAGACTACCTCAGGAAAAAGAAAAATGCACCCACCCATCCGGGCCACAAAACCACAAACTCTGTTAAACTTATGAGAAGCTATATATGCAGCAGGCCTGCAGAGAGAAGTAACAGAGAAAAACCACACGAACTTTGTCAATAAGCGATGAAAAGCTGCGCTTTCTGTTCACTGATAAAAAAACACAACAACTTCTCTTTGTACTCAGACGCTCTCAAACAAGAGCACACCTGAAGATAGTTTGAATACACACCGACATGCACGCATGCCTCTCATAGATCTATACATGTACACATTACAGAGAGAGACGCATGATTCTTAGAGGCTTTTTCTTTTTCAATACTTTGCTGAATTTGGCTTTAGGTAAAGAGGTTAACTGTGCTGAAGCTGCTGGACCTGTGAGCAGGGTTAGACCTGAAGCTCAAATTGCACTTTGACCCCATCTTCCTAATATATATATGAAAAAAAATGATTCAGTAGCAATAAATGAAGGCTTCGTTGGTAGTTCGGTAGCTTGCGATGATCTCATACTGGCAGCTTAGGTATCCAGCGCCTTTGATGTCAGAGGTGACATTTTCTGGACTGAAAAATAAACCCGGTTTAAATTTATCTCCTGTGCTCATTTCCTGCTATTTTTTTCCGGGGCTCTGCTAGCGTAGCTTCGTATGACTCACAGTTCAAAATAATTGTATCTTATACTGGACGTTGGTGAAGCCCTTCAGTCAATCCACTGTCTGAAAATCTTCTTTTAACCGGCTTCCCAGTGTAAGCACCGGGTGGTAGTACGTGGGTGGACTTCTGTGGTCAGTAAATTATGATGATGGTGTTAGGTGTCCATTCTCTCTGACATCACACAGATTCAAAAGAAGAAAAAGTGTCTGAAACCAAGTACAACTCTGCAGCCTCACCTTTAGACTCAGGAAAAGAACGATAGGTCACCTTTAAATGCAATCATATGGATTGTAAACCGTACAATCAAGAGAAGTGCTAAAAATATCAGGTCTGCAAAACACAAAACACAAAAGTTTTGTGTCTGCACAGTGGGCTTTTGCATACTTTTTAATAGCAGCAACACACCAGAAGATGTTGACAATGATGCAGTATTACAGGTGCACGGGTTTTCCTACATCACACAACAAACCTGAAGGCACTCTGAACACCGGGCATTTGTTTTCAGGTGCTGGGTAGTTTTTAACACTTGCATTAGAAAGCGCTCGAGTTGTGTGGGAGTCGAAGACGCTGACAGTCACTGAGGTTTCCAGTTTCCCTCAGCTACTAATTTTGCATATTTGGTACAAGCCCAAAGAGGCCAAATTCTTGTAAACATTGTACTTTTACAGTAAATCCACAGTGGGTTCAGCCAGACCAGCTATGCTACACATCTGTGTTCATGTTCAAACACTGTGTATTGTGTGAATTTCAGCATTTGGGGTTTTGCACAGAAAGTGAAAACTTTTCATTTCACATTAAGAGTTTTGACTCATTGAAAGTGACTTGACAGTAACTTTCCAAGCAAGGAAAATCCAGTGCATTTGTATCCATGTGGGAAGTGTGTTACAAGTCCACTAGATGGCCACATAAACCACACAAACCACAGAGCTTTATCCTACCTCGTTTTCCACCAAAGCATGGGGAAACATTCACAGGTTGTCTTTACATGAGCAGAAAAGAAAAGCAGGAACAAACTCAGTTTGCTGTCTTGAAGAGCAGTGGATGATTAGAGACACAGAGACACTGCTAGGAAAGATTTATCAAAATGCAAGAAGGTAGTTTCTGAGTTTTGTCCCATCCCACACTTTCTGGATTTTAATTTTAATCAGATCATGTCTAAATTAAACATACTCTTGATTTAAAATGCAAAATTATCCACAAGTGTCAAGAAGAAAATCTTTTAGCAACAATGTCCACATGAACATGTCTTCATAGTTCTAAAATGTCCTTATTTGGTTTGTTTTTTCACTTTTACTTGTTTTGAGTTTGTCTATAATCCAGAATATCTTTGAAACAGCTGTCATGTTACAAATATATCCACACTATCTAATGCAAAAGTA